TCAGTTGACCCACCTATCCCCCCCCCCAGGAGCTGCACTCAGTTGACCCACCTATCCCCCTCAGTGGGATGTCCTAGATATTGACCCACCCATCTAGGCTGCTTATACTACTTATATATATATATATATATATATATATATATATATATATATATATATATGCGAATATATACACCAAGTGTTTTCTTCTTTTTATGCAAAAAATATGAAGAAGAATTAATTTAAAAATAGGTCTGGTAGATTGGTACCCTTGGGAATTCCAATAGATTGTTGGAAGACCTCGTCTCCAAACACCACATACTGCACATAGATTTTGCTAATATAAAAAAATCAATCATTTTTTAAGTCAACTACAGAGTACTTGTTTGTATAATCAGCAGAATATTTTTTTAAAAATAAGTTTGCAAATGACCAATGACAAGGTAAGTAAATTTAGGAATTCCAGTTACGATTTTTTTCAGCGAACTTCTAAGCTTGATAACTGTTTAGTATACTTTATGTCCATTTGTCATTTTTAAAGTTTTGTGGTCATTATGAATTCAATGAATCTGTTATAACAATTTAAATTCGTTACAATGAATTCAATTAATCTGTTATAACAAATTAAATTCGTTATAACGAATTTAATAAATCTGTCATAACAAATTAAATTCGTTATAACGAATTCAATAATATTTTTTGATAGGTCCTAAATGGGCTTCCGTAGTTTTGATTTTTAACACACATTTTTATTTTGCGTTAAAGGTAACTCAGACGGTAGTGCGCTCGCTACATGATCGGAAGGGCTTGAGTTCAGACCCAGGTCGCGACTGACGTAAGTCTATAAAACATTTGGAAGCAACTGTTTCTTCGTCATGCACTCGGCACTTTGAATTGAAATTTGCGGGTCCTTCGGTTGAGAACTTAAAAACTGAGACCCCAAGTGTTATGACAGCCGTTGGCACGACAACGATCCCTCAATGCTCAATGACCCCTAGTGCCAAGTAAAGGCCAAAAAGTTTAAAGTCCTTCACTTTTATTTGGTGACGTCTCGAGTGAAAAATTCTCGAATGGGACGTATAACAGCACACCATCAATTAATCATTTTACATTCAAGGAAACAAGAAGATACTTAGTAACTGAGAACTTAAAACAACTTTGGTAATACATACGAATACGAAACTATCATTGTTTAAATTTTCCGGCGTCATTTAATTATATGACAATCCGAACTACTTTTTAGAAGACAACAGAGGTGTAAGTGAAGCTTGCAGAGCGCGCCCTCTAGTGAGAGATTGATAAAGTTATACAATCTATACTATCCGTGACGTTAATAGTGATTTCCTTTGTGACACTCTGTACGCTACTGCCGCATGATCACAAATAAAACGCAATTAAATATCAACATTAAATTTTACTTTTTTCAAAGGTAATGTAGAGACTATAAATATGCTATTTATATAAAGTAGTTTTTAACTTCCACATATTTAAGCAATATCTATCCAGTTATTAACATTATCAATGCAAACAAACAAATCTAGCTATTACATTAAATATTGTTGCTGTAATATTCATGATAAAGAAAGATAACCTGACTTTCAATTTCACGACATCCAGCACACCGATATATATCTAATCATATCAGAAATTTATTAGTTAATAACCTTTCTATTGTATGAACACGGAAGTTTCCCATTTGAATTATTATCATGGATTGTAAAATGCATATAAACTCAACCTTCAATATAGATATGTTATTTTAATGAATCCACCTGGTAATAACTGACCTCTGTTTTGTATTTTGGATTTGGACACTATGAGTTCTATCTACTTCACGCTGTTCTGTCTATTTTATTATGTTGAACCAGGTAAATATTTGACGTTTCATAAACACTATCTTTCTGGTTTAATGAAAAATGTAAAATAAAAAATAACGAACATGTTTTTAAAAGAACAAAGAAAATACATTTTTCTCTCAAAAAAGATTTATTTATAAAAGAAATTCAAATTTATTTACCAAATGATAATATTACTTTCAGGTTCGCTCGGTTCTATGGGAACCCCAACGGGTTGTCCTGCTTCTCTGCCCCCGATTAACCTGACTACCTACGGTAGCTCCTGTCTCCAGTTTAATTATAATCACACGTTCTGGGAGGAAGCCCGGAATTCCTGTCTCAGTGATGGCGGCGATCTTCTCCAGATCAGGAGCAGGGGTCTTCAACAGTTTCTAGAGCACTACCTGGCGTCACAGACGGGGGAGAAAACTGGATTCTGGTTTGGCGCTTCTGATAAGGATAACGAGTCACAGTGGGAATGGATCTCCGGTAAAGACTTTTCACTGAAAAAAAAACAAATAATTTATTTAAAGAATTATTATAATAAATTTAATTTTTTTAACTTATGATGGTCGATTCCTGTCGGTAATGTCCGGACATAAAATCAGAACATAAAGATGTTTCCATCAAATAAAGACCTAAAACCTAACAAATATGTCTATGTTCCCAAATAACCATCCATAACCATCATAGTGTGTCTATTGCTTATTCAGTTATTAGGTAAATTTAATGCTGTATGATTTGTTAAGATTTTTACAGAAGGTAAAATTGTCTCCATCAAATCAAGTCTAACATTTTACGAACACTTTTCTGTATTGACAAGGTGATAAGACCATGAGGTATTCGAACTGGCAGGATGGACAGGGGACCAGAGCAGGGTCACACATCCCTGACTCGGACCTGGACGACTGCGCACTGATGCGTGTCGACTACGGGTTCAAGTGGTACGACGTACCGTGTAGGAATAAATACCTCAAATACTCCTACATTTGTCAATATGGTGAGTAAGAGACCGGAGAGATTTATAGTTGATTTCAACAAAATCCGTTTGTGACTGGATTTTTTTTCAAAATTCATACACTATTCATCACCAGGAAGTAATTAAAAAGCTTTATTTTTGTTACTTTTAGAGATGGGAAATTCCGGAGAAAGAATATACAACGAATCCAGAGTTTTAATGTCACTTTTAGTAATAACACTATTGGCAATGAATATTTTCTGAATCAGTTCTTAGTAGTGTGCTATATGTTTGACTTGATAAATTTATTTCTAATTTACATTTAAAAGTTTAAGAAATTTTAAAAACAAGACTTTGAAATAAAATCATATATCAACATATCTATTTGGAACTTCTTAAGTATAGTCAAATACTTGAGGGAGCTGCTGAAAAATCCTTACTTGATACTCTAGAAACAGAGTGCAAAAATACATGCATTTTATTCATATGATTTTCTACTTTCATAATTACCAACAAAATATTGATATGACGTATATGGAGATAACGAACAATATTCAAGCTCAAAACGCCATTAATACAAATCAGGATCAGCAAACATGACCTCTAAAACCACTAGAGATGGGATTAAGTGCCGTGGGGGAATGAGCATCCCCTTCCGACTGGTCGTACCTACAGTGTGCTCCTTGTCATGTCATAATAAGTACTAAAATGTCAGTCAGCATTTGACTGAGTTCATGATTGATTGTGTATGATGACAAGGTCGTTGTAACGTTCAGAGAACTTTTAAAAAAATGACATTAAACGAAACTGTTGATATTCTTGTTTGTATATAACTTTCCTCGTTTTTAGATATTGTTCATACGTGGAGCATGCTCTTGCGTATCGAAGCAATTGAGAGATGTAAACTTCGTATGCAGGTGTTAAGGGGATATTGCTGCATAAGTAAAGGAAGCTGAGGAATGAAAAGTTAAAGTCGTCACGTTTATCATAGAGCTTGATTGTTAGGTTACCAAAAACTAACTTTTTTCTAGCAAGATATCCAAATATGAAACAGATATGATAATCTAATGTGTTATCTTTTTGTCATGACAGCCGTCGTGCTCTGTTCAGTCAGACACAACAAGATTTTTTTTTCTATTTACAATTTTTTATCTATATATAAAATCAATAAGAAAAACAATATTTACAACATATTTATACACAAATTATGTACAATAAATATCACTTTAACACTATAGATTATCTATATCCATCCCAGTATACCACGCGACGGCGTCCTGACTCTCCCCGTTTCACGACAGACTCCTGTCAACTGGCTCCCAGTGGGTTTCCGGTCCAGGTGACGCTGGTAACACGTGTCCGCACAAAATGCCTGGAACATAGCTGTAATAGGACTGGTATATGTCTGGTATATGTCTGGAATATCTCTGGAACCTTTAAATTAAATAATATTTTAAGTCGCAAGTTACGTATACTAAAAATAACACGTCAACATTGACTACAGTTGCACTTATGGCACACCATACAAAACAGTACCGGTAATTCTAACCGAACACTATTATAATAAGAAAAACGTTAAGAATACACAACATCTTAACAAAAGTAGTTTTAACTATTAAACCCACAACACCGACTTATAAGCGGCAAAACAAAATAGCTTACGTGCGTACATAACTTAGTACATTGCATAAAAATAGAACTATACACGCATGAGTAACTCTACCCAGCAAAACCTGTATACGTAAACAGTGACAAAAACATTACTTAACTCAAATTCGTACATAACTTTACGTCTTAAATGTAGTACTCAAAACCTATATATAGAAATAAAAAAAAAAACAAACTTACCCCTTATGGAGAAATGGTTACCGTTGATAACTTACTTAGCTACACATCTTGGATTGTACGTCAACCATGTAAAAGCTATGAAAACGTGGACCCCGGCTACTTGGTCAGCTATGCAGCGATTTAAATACCCTCTATACAATAGGTCGTAACTGACCAATGCCTGCAAAACTTAACTTGAGGTTCAATAAAGGTGACAATATAAAGAGGTCCAGTAAAGGGTAAATAAAATAAAACAAAAAACCATAATGTTAATAGAATTATAATTAAATATTGATTGTGACAATATCTCCCCAACATAAGAAAGTTCACTGAACTTTTGGAAAAAACACAATCAATATGGCATAAAATCAACTATACATAAATATATACATATCTAAATTCTGCTTAGACAATCAGCTCCTACATTTTCAGAACCCTTGATGGAAATAATGCGAAACCTGTAGGGTTGCAGAAGTAATGCCCAGCGCATCAGACGTGCATTAGACACTTTGGCTTTGGTAAGATATACTAGTGGTTGATGATCTGTTTCTAGTAGGAATTCCTTACCATACAAATACCTGCAGAACTTTTGAACTGCCCAGATTATCGCATAGCACTCTTTCTCGATTGTAGAGTAATTTACCTGACATTTGGAAAGTTTCTTGCTAGCGTATGCGACAGGTTTCTTCACACCATCTTCGTACTGCACCAAAACTGCCCCAACACCACGATCTGACGCATCAGTCTGTAAAACAAAGCTTTCATTCAAATTAGGTAATTTGAGAACTGGTGTTACCGTTAAAGCTGTCTTGAGAGTGATGAATGCATTTTCCTGCGGTTCTTTCCAAATCACTTTGTTCGGCTGGCCTTTCTTGGTAAGATCTGTTAAAGGCGAAGCAATAGCTGAAAAATTCGGAATGAATTTACGATAGAATCCTACCAGACCTAAAAATGATCGCACTTGCTTCTCCGTTGAAGGTTGGGTAAAGTTGTGAATGGCGGAAACTTTGTCAGGAAGAGGTCTAAGTTCTTCATCTCCTGCAATATGTCCGAGACACTCAAGACTCCGGTAACCAATAAAGCACTTACTTGGTTTCACAGTCAAATTCGCCGCACGAAGTCTTTTCAGAAGTTCCCGAATCACATTGATATGTTCCTGAAATGTTCGAGTGTACACAATCACATCGTCTATAAAGTTATCCACACACTGCATTCCGTCTAAGAGCTTACGCATCAGGCGACTGAAACTTGCGGAAGCGTTTATCAAGCCAAAGGGCATCACCCTGAATTGAAACAAACCAAGTGGCGTTTGGAAAGCGGTGATCTCCTTCGCTGCATCATCCAATGGTAACTGTCAGTATCCCTTAGATAGATCAAATTTGGACACATATTTACAGCCAGATAATTGCACATAAATATCATCAGCATTTGGAACGGTTTCTGCATGGAAAACAGTTACTTTATTAATTGCACGAAAATCGATACAAAACCTGTTCGAACCGTCCTTCTTTTTCACGATGACTATCGGGGAACTGTATGGACTCGTCGAAGGCTCGATCACATCGGCTTCCACCATCTTCCTTACCTCGTCACAAACAACGTCTTTTGAAGTAAACGGCAGAGGATAAGGCTTGATGCGAATAGGCTGGTCACTAGTCAACTTGATATGATGAACTCCGAGATTCGTCAAACCAGGTACATCTGATAAAACATCTGAAAAATCCTCTAGTAATGTCTTGACTTCTGCTTTTTCATTCTCAGATAGTTCATCACTTACTTTCACATCTGCCGATCCCTCCTTCTTCGTTTCTCCTTGAGAATCACACAACAGCTCATCATCGCTCTCTCCATCATCATCTAGATCGAGTACTGCGGCGCCTACAACACCTAGAACACCTGTCTCATCATTACTCTCGTTTTCTCTGTCAATGTACAACTTCAACATATTTGCATGAAATGTTTTGATTTTTCCATTCACCTTAATTCTGTAATCAACTTTTCCAAGTCTCTCTATAATTCCGTATGGACCTTTCCATTGCATTAGTAATTTGTTACTTGCAGTTGGTAAAAGAATAAGAACTTTCTCACCTTTTGACATTTGTCGGTTTTTTGCTCCCTTGTTGTAATACTTCCGGTATTTTTCTGACGACTTCTGTAGATTCTCTCTCGCCATTCTGCACGTAGCTTCTAATCGTTCCTTCAAATCAACCACATATTGGTACGTAGTTCTAACCTCTGAATCCACCACTTCTTTAGTCCATAACTCTCTCAAAATCTTCATAGGTCCTCTAACTTCGTGTCCGTAAACCAGCTCAAACGGAGAGAATCCTAGACTCTCCTGTGGTGCATCACGGTAAGCAAACAATGAGGCTGATAGATACTTATCCCAATCAGTAGGACGTTCCGCACATAACCGTCTGAGTATCTGCTTCAATGTATCGTTGAACCGCTCGACCAGTCCATTGCACATGGGGTGGTACGGTGTCGTTGTTAACTGTCGTATAGAAAGTAAACGACTAACATCTGTCATCAGCTCAGATGTAAATTGTGACCCCATATCCGTGAGCATTTCCTTCGGTACTCCTACTCTACAAAATACATCTACCAGAGCCTCAGCGACTCGTTCAGTGTGAATTCCTTTTAAAGCAATTGCCTCTGGGTAACGAGTAGCAAAGTCAACAATGGTCAAAATGTAACGATTACCCTTACTGGTTGCTGGCTGGATAGGTCCTACCAAGTCGACAGCTACACGTCTGAACGGTACCTCAATGATAGGCATATCTCCTAGTGGTACCTTTGTAGTCCTGCCTTTCGGAGTGGTACGTTGACAGATGTCGCATGATCTGCAGAATCGGCGTACGTCCGCTTGAACTCCCGGCCAATAAAATTCTGCACGGACTTTGCTGGCTGTCCTGGAAGTACCTAGGTGACCTGTCATAATAGACTCATGAGCAAGCGAAAGAACCTTAGTTCTATATTTCTTTGGTACAACTAGCTGTGTAAAACGTTTACCATTCTGACATTTATCTGACTGGAAGACACGATAAATGATACCTTTCTTACTAACGAATGATACCTTGGAGTCGTCGTCTTGTCCTACCAAAGAGCGTATCTTGGCTAAAGTCTCGTCTTTCTCCTGTGCTGCCTTAATGTCGTCAGGACATATCTCAGCGTCGATAATATCTGGAACATGAAGAGATTTAGTCTTCTTACCTTTCTTTTGAGCTTGTTGCCTTGTCACTACTGCGTGCGCTTGATAACGTGTCCAGTTTCTATCCGAATCCTTTGGATCTCTTGCGTTGGGGATGTTCCCGATGATCAAGGAATACAATGGATTTTCTAAACACCAAGTGTCTATTTCACCCACAAAGTATGGAGTGTCTATTTTCACTCGCGCAACAGGTGCTTGAATTCTTGATCCATCCCCCAGAACACAAATTCGATGATTTCCTGTAAGCTGAACATCATCTATCAAA